CTTCCATCTCCCTATAGACTCCCTTCAACTACCGAGACTTTGAAGATGTTGAATGCGTATCGTGATGTTATACAAAGTAGTCATTTCAGGCCAACAAAAACGCAGCAGCTCAAAAGTGTTACTGACCGCTGTTAACGAAGTGAGAGCTCGTTCCTTCACTGTTCATGTTGACAATATCACGAACACTACAAATTAACAAGCCACATCCTCGACACACCAGATCAGTCATCTGTAATGAAATTTACGCATAACTAATAGCAAAGATACTATATGCGCAACTAGTTTCACCTGATCAACTAAATTCAGTAAAGATGCGACTCGCAAGTTGGTTTCATCTTCCACTAAATGTTCGTATTTGGCAGATAAAGTCATGGGAATATTCCTTGCAGCCCAATAACTGAAGCTGATTGTGCCCTAGAACAAATAAAATTGCAGTGGTATCATGATTGTCCTAAATACAAAGGTAGACTATAAGAACGCTATAAGAAGCCATAACTAGAACCCTCTGAAGGGGAGAAAGTATACCAAATCCAAAGCTCCTTGTATTTTATCACTGGAAAACCACATTTTCATCCAAGATCCGAGCTCCTCACATTGATTGTCCTAAATATAAAGGTAGACTTATTTGAAAGTAGGCAATCAGTGAAGGTATTCCCACAGAACAAGTCACAGACCAAATTCGTCTTATCTGCAACAAATGATGGAATATTGGACATCTCGGATAGAATGGCCAGTTTCTGAAAGGAACGGATAATTGAACAACTGCAAAAAGCATAGGATAAAGCGCATATTACTCTTTTCTCCGACAATTTCCAGACTTTTGAAGGACATATCGCTTGTAACAGCGGCGTTCGTGTATGATCGCACAAAACTTCCACTTTAGCCATTGACGTGCTAAAATCATTGACTGTAATAATTCAAAGGGAATGTACTCATTCGAAATGCATAAAAAAACTGTGAATTAACGTGAAAATAAAGGACATCAATTCGTTTTTCCACAACATTTTGGTGAACAACTTCTTCAAAACAGGGAGAATTTTCTTTTGTCAAAGATTGATGAGATAACCACCACAATTAGTTTAGTGCAAGGAATACTTTCTGCCCATGTATAAGCAATGAGAAGCGAAAAACCAGACAGCACCCTCGAAAGCGACCAAGACTTGGGAAGAGATTAACCCAACGAATAGTGCTCATCAGGTGTCTATTGTGGATCGATATCAAAAATTCTTCGTTTCTGTTTTTCGACAAGTCCTGATAACGTCCTAATGAAGGGATATAAGAGACAATGAAAGACTCTGAAACCATGGTGATCATCTGTGAGCTACGCACCGCTCGCTGGAAATCCTATTCATATTTTACACTTTATAATACTGCCGAAAACCTAGAACAACCGTCAGCTTTTCAGAAACGATATACCTCGAAGTTTCGTTATCCACAGAGATAACACGAAATCGCTGTCGACCAATTGCTTGAACTTTCATAGTCAGACCGTCACTCAAGTATTTGTTTACCTTAAACTCTTAACAAGAATCAATCAATCAAGGCACGACACTTGGCAGCCTTTCAGTCAGACAGTAAGCACTAGGAATGAAAACCTGTTCATGAAAAATGATCTTCCTCAAAAATATGGAACACGCCTTGTTACCTGCAATAAAATCCCGTATCGCTCTTTGTTCATGCCCGTTTCGCCTTGAATGATTGGTAATAACCCGAGATAGCTCTTGCCATCAATAGCTCTTTGTACGATGGAGCGAGATACCGTGTTATGAATTTGCATAGGCACCATTTGACCTTCGAGAGCGTGAAATTATCAAGGAATTGTAGATCACAAACATAACATTGAGCAGAAGCTCACCGGGTAATACAATTAGATCCAAGCTGATGACCGGAACTGTATGAATTTTTCCAGGCTGAAGCCACATCGTGGTCCCTACATCTATTTCCTCAGAAGCTCGGGCGGGTTTGAATAGATACTGATGTTTTGAAGACTCCTGAAATTCTCATGACATATGAAAAGCATGTCAAAAATTGAATAGCTTGCGGATAACTAATAATGCTTTCCCTGACAACCTGTCATTCTCACCTAATCAGATATTTCGGAACTTATCTCTCGCTTAATCAATCCAGCCCTTTTTAATCAAATGATTTCGCCATTTCTTTTCTTTGAGCAAGGTATATTTTTAGGAGCACTTGTTTGACTCCTTTGAATACTTTTGTCTCCATTTTGAGGAGCACTTGTTTGACTCCTTTGAATACTTTTGTCTCCACTTTGGCATATTCATTTATGTTTAGCCTTTCAAGAAAGAAAGGGCCGATCAATAATAGCGATTAAACGAGCTAGTCAAGTGTCTACATGTTTTTGTTACCGTGAACGATGAATGTGGGCACTACCAACCTAGCCCTCCTTACATTCTGGTAATGAGAATTTCCGGGGAACAACTGAAAAGTTGTACTCACCTGCACATCGAAGTTTGGATTCGCTTCACCACCATTGCTCTCAGAAGCGGGACCGTCCTCTTCGTCGAATGATTCCTCTTCTGAAGAGTCTAAATCACGCATAGCCGCATCCATGGCTCTATTGTTTCCATTTCTGACTCGCGCATTCAATATTCGGAGGAACTGTCGTACACCATTCCGAATCCCGAGCTGTAACTAAACTGAAAACATTACCAATGGGAGCAGCCTTGCTGAAACATAAAACGATTCAAAAAAAGACAGACTTAAAAATTAGGCTTTACATTGACATCGGCTCCTGCTCGCACTAACTCATCAGGTGACTCTCGATCAGAACTTTGATTTGCACTGTCCTGCCTATTCAATGCACCCTCTTCGATGCGCTCGTTGCCGTCGTCACTACTGTCGTGACCACCATCGAACATCTGAATTAACAATAATACGTTTCCTGTAGTTATTCAAAAATAATCATGTATAAAACTTCAGCTGGCGCAATGTGGCTCTGGGGAAACAACTCGTAACATTGGCGTCAGATTCACGGAAACGCTGAATTTCAGGACTAAGCCTCAGAGGAAAAATGGGCGCTTAAGTTCGACGAACTACTTGAACTCGGCCCTTCGCCCCTCAATTCGATGCTCTCGTCTGCGTTTCTCACCTTATCAGCGGCTCATGACCATTATGATCTCACCATTCAAACTTTTGCTACACTGTTGTGGCTCACCCAACCACTCGCGGTCCCTCCTCCCTACAAAGCTTAGCTTAGGGCTCTCACCTTCTTCGTTGGGATTTGGAGCCGCGCCGGGTGCCGTCCTCTATTCGTCTGTGTTAATGTTGTGACAATGTCTTTTGCTCCTCTGCGTCCCTTCACAAGGCCAGACACCAGACACTAAGGCCCAAACTTTTGCCACAGGTTAAGTGGCTCACACCCCCCCCCTCTGAATTGCCCCCATGCCCCCTGGCTCACGCATTCTTACTTACTACCAGGTTCCCGCCACACCAAAAGGATTAGATCTCATACAACCGTCTGTGTCCTCCGCCATTCGTGGTAGGACTATGGAGAAAAGTTCAGGTAGGGCGCGTAGACTAAGCTTCGGAGCTTCAATACGAAAAAAAAGCTGGCTCAAGTTTAGTTGGGAGGTTGGAGACACAGTGGTGCAAAGTATTCACTACGTTCAGAACAACAAGAAATATCACGTGTTGAAACTACCTCAAATATTACTATTAATATTATATGTTTAAGCCAACCTTTAAGGGCGAACGAAATGGTTCACCCAGGATGTGGATTGCTAGGACAGAAAGCGACTTTTTTCTTCGATTCGGTCTTCTTCGATTTTCGTAAACGAAACTCTTTTCGTACAAGAACCTCAGGTCCACCACTAATCAGAGTGGAACGCAGTGAGAAGTTTTGAGCTGCGAAAAGCGGAAAAGAAGCTTTCTTCTGTCCTAGCGAGCCGCACCCCACTCACAATGGAGCACCCACTCCATGCGAAATAATGGATCACTGTTGCCAGGATGATGACTACTGCGGCACATGCACTTTCAATAATGGTGTAAAAGATTTGTATTGAAACAGTACTCGTGTCAGATCAGGCAATCCAACATTGACCTTCAAGATTTCGTGCATGCAAAACCAGCGGATGGATGCTCATATGTTTCTTGACCTTTTGTGGATATTTCAACACAAGTTCATGTGACTGAACTATCAGTTTCAGCAAAACACGCGAGGAAAATGACAAGCCAGTGAAGCTACTAAAAGAATCTCTGCAATGGCCCTGCAATTTACTCCGCCACATTCGTTGTCTTTGTGCACTTGAACACATTCTTGTGAAAACACATTTACTCTCTGATCTTTAATTGAGCACATTTAACTTCAATCATGTTTCAACCGACTGGGACGTGTTTGGTGCTCAAAATGGTTATGAAAGAGAATGTGGAAATGAATGAAGGTGGAATCATTTGGAGCCATGAGAGCAAGTGAGTTGAATTGCCGCCGTACATTACATTGCACACACTATAGTTAATTCCGCTGATCCTGTGCTTCATCTAATCACGTGCGCTAACTATATCAAGTAAATCAAGTGATAACCAAAAGAGAGAAAAAACAACAACTAACAAAGGCGGACGCTCATTTGGTGCTTTTAAGACGACAATTACCGGGCAAATCGTGTACATTACACAGCGTGCGCAGAATATACGCCCAGTTTCGCATTCTCACAAAATCGCTCGGGGGTCGTGTGCAGTACGCCCCAAACTTGGAAGCGTCTTCCCCAACTTCGAAAATTCGTTCCCGTCAGGAGGATGTTGCATACCGTCTCAAAGAAAAACCGGCACTATTCAACTATTACAACCCCAAAATCTCAAAATTTTATTTTTCGTCGAAACTTTGTCTATAGGGGTAATTCGGTGCCCTGATTACGAAAATGACATTCATTTTCAACGGGGCGCCATCTGGCGCCAGGTGGCGTCACCTTGTCACGACAGTTGTTCTCACCAAACTCGATGTAAACTTCTGACCGCGATCAGGACTAAGCTTTAGGAGAGAGGAAAGATATCAGTGAGTGAGCCCCCTACCCTGTGATCTCACACGCTCCATCTTCGTCACACGGTGCCTGATTCACTCATTCCGAGTCTCCCTATCCCCTAAGCTTAGTCCCAAGGCGCTATGTATAGGTGAGAGAGCCCAGAAAAGCGGGAAGTATGCGGTAAACAGCGGTAATGTCAAAAACGAATGTCATATTCGTAATCAGGACATCAAATAACCCCTATACAGAAGTTTACACCGAATTTGGTGAAAACATGTGTCGTGACAAGGTGGCGCCAACTGGCGCCAGATGGCGCCACCGCCAAAAATGAATGTCATTTTCGTAATCAGGGCACCGAATTACCCCTATAGAGGAAGTTTCGACGAAAAATAAAATTTTGAGATTTTGGGGTTGTAATAGTTGAATAGTGCCGAAAAACCTCATGACGTTCTATTTGTTGGGTGTTCACAGACACCATGATCAAATACGTCATCGTGGCGCAAGAACCCCCGCATAGCATGCTCACCAAGGTTTTTTGAAGCAGAACGGCGAGATTGTTCTACCATTTTTGGAAATCGTCATCGGTGTGAGCTCTCCCATTATACCCAGTTGAGGTAACTTGCTCTTGACGTTCCTTTCGCAAGCTCCTGTAACGTCTGCAAATTCACGCAAACATTTGTTCTGATTATATTCAAAAAGAAAGGGAAAGCGGAGCAGATTTTGTAAAGGAGTCGTCGCCTGTGTTGTTTGGTCCGCACTACAGACGTACCTGGCTGTCGAATACAAAGAGCATGTTTCGTACTATTACAGTAAGGGTGTGCATGGCTTTTCTGCTAGAACCGTTGCGCGATCACAACTTATGCGCAGCGTGGGGGTCGTCATGAGCAAGTCATGTGTGGCATCTTGGTCCCCCGACGGCATGTATGGAAGGAGAATCTCCAAGTGTATATTTTGGAATCGAAAAAGTGCTCCTTTAAAACCCCTCACGGGACTAATCTTCGAATCGGGAACTCTGTGAACAAGTTTCAGAACTTTTACGGAAGCACGAACCTTGAAGTTGTCATAGTGGCTTCTGCTTCCCAAATAATGAGTTTGAAAAAACTTCTGTAATAATAAGCAGTTGTCGAAAGGTACACAGGAGGTCGTTCATGGCCTTAAGGGAACATTCAAAACAGGGCATTCAAAGACCGGTGGTAGGGACATTAGGACTTGGCTTCCTTCAGAAAGGGAAGAAACGCCAATGAGAACTAAAACTGATCACATCCTTCCCCGAAAACCCTTCAACTCCCTAAGGCTCAGTCCCAAGTACAATGCGCCGCATAGTGACACCTCCACCTACAAATTTCCAAAAAACCTGCATCTGAAGATTTTTTTGAAAAAGGCACTAGGGAGGAAGAGGTGTCCTTCGTATAAACGCGATCCTAAATATCAACACAAAATTCCATTTGCTTGATTTGTGATATTTTGAAGTCTCTGACCATACTCCTGATCTTCTTTCTCAAACTGAATTCTGTGTTGATACTCAGTAACTGCCTTAATCACAATTCCTCACTAGATCGCTGGTTGATATCTTCTTAAGGCTGATGTCAGAGTCCGCGATCCTTTGCGCGATTTGCGCGACGGGTCACGGAAATCACAAGTGCCCCATCCATACTGCAAGGTGTTCTCCAATCCCGCCGTCACTTCTGCTTGATGGTTATGGTTTAATGGAGACTGCTCATGATTCCACTTGTTTCATATCCAGTGTTTCAATTGTTCAAATGGGGCACTTGCAATTTTTGTGATTGGTTTGGTTTGATTCCTGAAAAAAATAGGAACGATTCAAGAGCATTTCAATGAACTAATAGACATTGAACATGAAACAAGTAGAACCACAAACATTCGTCTTCCAATCTTTACTGCCAAGCAGAATTCGCAGCAGGATTAAACAACACCTCGCAGTATTCATCGGGCACTTCCAACTCCTGTGATCCATCGCAGGTTTCGCGAAAATCGCGAAAATCGCGCAAATCGCGAAAATCGCGAGAGCGGATCGCGGACTCTGACACCAGCCTAACTCTTCACGAGGTTGATAAATGACCTTTATTAGGCTGACGTTTCGACAGGGATCGCCTTCTTCAGAGCCTGAAAGAGTCGAAACAATTTGTTATTTGACTTCGAGACCAAACAACTCATCACGTAATCCAAAGGTGGGCCACCTACCGTAATACAGTCCAGTTGTCGAGACCACCAGAACAGCAGTGAGGCGATCGGACTGTTTGTGATTCAAAGTCACAGGCTACCCTTATATAGGGCCTCAATTCCCGCGTTATTGTGCGTACATGCAAGTTTCCCTAGAACTTTGGGTGGAAGTATCATTATGCGTCGCAGAGTACTGAAAGTGGCTCCCTCATTTGAATGTTCCTCCTCCTCTCGCCCCCCCCCCCCCCGCGCTCGACATGAGCTTCCACAAGAGGTTTCTCTCATCACTTACGCAAAAGGCGCTATGCGAAGGGCATCACACAAATCGGCGTTCACTAGCGCTTTAATACATTTCTATCATAAATATTCTCAACAACAAACAACTAATAATGCAAGAAGCTTTATTCGCATTTGTCGCAATGTTCCATCGTTTTAAGTTTTCTTCACAGTCTTCGATTTCTTCACATTCTTCGTTTTCTTTGGAGTCGTGGACCTCTTTCTCGACCTTCTCGACTTTCTCGATCTTCTTCTTGATCTTCTCAACTTTCTTCTTGACCTTCTTGACTTTCTTCTCGACCTTCTTGATCTCTTCCACCTCCTCATCCCCTTCCTCTTCAATCGTCTGTATTGCGCAGGTGAGATGTTATAGAAACCATAGAACTTTTTGCACACGAAGCCTTCTTTCAGTCTCTTGGTACAGCAGAGATCAATCCAGTGCTTGA